TCCGAGTCTGGTCAACTCTGGGGCTTCCTTCGACCTAAATATGTGTGTGTTGCCGAGCGAGCCCAAGGACTTACACACCTCGAGAGACGACGATACATTGTTGTACCATATGAAAGGAGACTCTGCCTGGAAATCCCATTCTTGAAGCTGGGGCGGATGGGATGGGATGGTGGTGGATTTAAGAGACGCTGTCGATCGGCTGGCTGGAAGGATTTATGATTTGATGATGAGGGGGTATGTAAATGGAATCAGCTGGGCCGATGCTACATAATGTTATTTTTTGTGGCCAGTCTATGTGTTTATGGGTGTGTGGGGATTGATTTGATGATTAAAAGTTTCACAGAAATGTACAGAATACAGGCTGCGATGATGTAGTTGCAGTTGAGTGGGAGCTCTTGTATGCCAATTTATTTTGTTTTTTTTTCTTTTTTTGATTATTTAGGTCTGGACTAGACCCAGCGACGGCCAGCTCTTCCGATTCCCAACTGACAAGACAAGAAACTGGCTGCAGCAACTTGTTGTAACCAATCTTCAATCGACCAGCAGATTGACCCTGACAGACTTTCACCCACACTCACACAACACAACAACTCTCGCTTGATACTCTCACTTATTTAAAACAGTTTTCAGATTCAGATTGTTTTTTTTCTTTCTTTCTTTTTAATTCAATCTTCCTTATCCCTCTCTCTCTCTCTCTTTATTATATCCCTCTCCTTTTCCTTCGACTAGGCTCGAATCGTCATCCAATCCACTTCTGTCTAAACACTACCACTGATTATTACAACAGATAGATAGTTATAGTCATATAACCTATTAACCCCCACCCAGATATCACCCCCCCTTCAGGTAGCCGGGTAGCTCCCCCTCCCCACCTCTCTCCCCCTTGTAATTAATTCACAGCAAACAAGAATCAACAGCAACACCAACAACAAAAAAAAAAGAAGAAGAAAATAGGACTCTAGCGTAAGCCAGGATGGCTCATCATCACTCTGAACGTCAACCGCTCGAGGGCCTGCCACCCTTACCAAGCACTGACCCCACCAGCACCGGCACCGGCACCGGCAGCAGCACAGCCAATCAGCCCATCCCACCCTCCTTCGATCCCTCGTTGGTAAACCCGCCTCCACCATCGACCATCGGCGACTCTGATAGTGCCAAGGCCTCCAAGAGCTCACCCAGCTCCGATCCGGCGAACAGCCCGACCAACGACCCCTTGAGTCCGCCCACCGATCCGAACAACCCCGGCAATTCAGGCTCCAGCACATCCAAACCGCCCGATCAGTCGCTCGGTGCACCCGCTCCGACCTCCTCTTCGCTACCCTCATCCGATCACAGCAAGCACCCCAACGATCCCACCAGTCCTCACGACGGAGCTAGTACGACCCCATCCGACTCGCCATTACCCGGCTCGCCGACCTCCTCAAGCCCGGCCTCAGTCGCCTCGCAGCCCCCTCAGAGCCCGTCTGAACAATCCCAAAACCCCTCCCAGACCAGTTCCGCCAGTCTGACCACCGCTTCAGCCGCCCCGGTACCCGCCTCAAACACATCCTCCAAGCGTCCAAACCCAACCAGCCCCATCCAGAGCGACTTGCCCTCTGGCCAGCCGATCGCCGGAACTGTCAACCCTAGCACGATCGACCAGGCCACCGGTGCCAAATCAGCCGACTCCTCCGCATCCCGCGCCGCCCGTCCTCAGCAGCAAAACTCCCACTCAGATGACAGCACTGGCACCCACGTCGGTACCATCATGGGCATCCTCGTCGCCGCCGTCATCGGTGCACTCATCCTGGCAGGCATACTGGGCATGATCAAGCGTAAGAGGAGAGAAAGACAAAACCAAGCAGCTTTCCACCAAGACATTGTCCGTCGATTTTTTTTTAATTCTTGTCCTTAATTTTGAGCTGGTCTGTTAACATTGATTTACATGATTTTGCTGTGAACAGTTTCAAGAGAAGAATTCGTTTGAGCCTGAAATGGATCGAAAGAGTTTTGGCTCGGCGAGGAACCCTATGAACACGGAAGGAAGTCGCAGCTTCAATCCGCGTGGCGACGGGATTTTCGGACCCCGTCCGCCTTCGATCATCGAGCGACACCAGGCCTCGCCGGCCATCCCGGCGCCCATGCCCAGCTACCAACCCGGCCAGGTGCTCAATTATCCCCACTATCCCGGCCAACCGCAACAGCAGTCATTCAACCTCCACCGACCCAAGCCTCCCACCTATCACAGTGGATATCCTGAAGAATCGGGTCTCGCTTATGCCGCAAACCCGCCCGTAGAACCTTCTCCAAATCCTCGTTCTAATAATACTCACGACCAGAAGCACGTAACGTATGTTTTTGTCCTCTACTATACACGCATTTAGAGCTTGAACTGACTCCCATCTGCTTCAATTTGCTGTCAATTCCACAAAAAAATAGACTTGAGATGTCTCATCAAGATTCTCCTCAATCTAACCGATACGAGTACCATGGAGGAAACCAGCACATTCCGATGCAAAACATGACGGGACATGGAACCGCAGGAGGGCTCAGTCCATCGACGTATCCAGTCACCGGAGGGGTGGTCAATCATCCGGGACCCGTGCCGAACTATCAGCAACAGGTAGACCAGTTAGATTTTTTTGGACAGCCCTCGCCAGCCTTGACGATGGTAGGCCATATGACGACGGACTGGAACCAAGGCGGATCGCCGCACGAGAAGCCCCTGGCCCCGCCTCCACTCAGCCCCATCTCGATGATGACTCCACCTGCGCCCCTCCCGAGCGAGGAAGACCGTTCAGGAACACCAATGAACCCTAACCTCCAACAAAGCTATCTCGACTGCGACAGTAAGGTTTCCGAGCATTTGCCCATCAGCGACTCTCTCCCTCATCCATCCTCCGATGACCATGGTTTCCAAAGCGCACCCATCAGCGGAAACGAGGACTGGAAACTCGCGAGCCCTCATCTCTCTAGCCCCTTGGGCGAGATGTTCAAGGATGACGCTTATCTTGGTGCTTCCATCGATCAACATCATCTTTCTGATACCGATCACAACAAACCTTCTGCTCATTCCAGTCTCAAAGTTATCAACCCTTGAGTGACTTCTTCTTTTTTTTTTCTTTCTTTTTACGTACCAAAACATCTCCTTGATTGGATGACACTTTATTTATATTAAGAAAAAAAAAACCAACCTGGCATGTCTCTGCTTGGGTTTTTACTTTATCCCATTCATTCATTTTCAGACACCACCACTACCACCACAGATTTATTTATATATTTACCCTTTCATTTTTTACTTTTTCATCTCTTTGTAGATATATATATATATATGAATCCTGTATGGATTTATTCTCATTTACTTTTCTCTCTTGGTTGCCAACAACCCCTTTTTTTCTCTCAAGTACTTCATTTGCTCCTATTAGATTTAACTATTAGCTACCCCCCCCCCCCTCTCTACACAAACAAACAAACAAACACCAACAAGACTATCCAACAATCTTTTATTCCTACACACCACACACTTCTCCTCTCTCACTCTCACACACTCAGAGACTTGCCATATTTATTTATGCAGAATTTGTGTGGACTTGTTTTTGTTTTTTTTTTCTCTGCTTCATCCTCTCTTCTCCTTTTTTTGTGTGATTTCATTACATTGTCATGTCACTCATTCTTGGACAAAAAAATGGATGCTCGGGTCATTCTTTTTTTTTCCTTTGATGATCTTAAGAATTGTTTTTTTTCCTACATTTTTTTTTTAAAAAAAAAATACTATTACTCATTTGAATGTCCTATCAAAAAAAAATAAATAAATAAATAAATCAACACAAAAAAAAACATGTCTCTTATTTACATTCTTTTTTCTTCTTTGTTTCTCCTTTTTTTTTTAGCTTTTTTTTGTTTAGGTTTTTTTTATCTTACACATGATCATGAAAGAAAAGTAATTTGAAAACGATTAAAATCAACACCCCAAAGAAAAAAAAATGTAAATGTGCATCATGGATAATGTGTCCCCCACACACAAGCCATGATGTTCATGGTGTTTCACATGTCGAATAGGCTGTGGAATTTTGGTTTGGTGTTTGAATATGGAAAGGAAGAAAAAAAAACCTTGGTAGAGTGATGACTGCCCAACTGCTATAATACTTCCAATAACAAGACAAGAGCTACAGGCCGCAAATCTTGGCTGAAGTATCTGCAACTTGCAGATGCAGGATTGACAAGGCCAGCATGGTTGTGAATCCTTGGTGAATCGATTTTTGGTGTGATTTTTGAAAATCTGTGGAGGAGGGGTGGAAGGGAATGAAGGGATGAAACCAGCACGAAATGCGAGCTGGGATGATGCTGAGGTATTTTTTTGGCTCTGGGGCAGGTCTATACGCATTCAGGGACAACAGCACTCATGAGGCTTCTTATTTCCACTCCAGCCATTTGCGATTCCTGTCCCTGCAAGGAGCTTGACTTTGTGCGCACAACTCCCTTCCTGTGGGAGTTGGAGCTGCTGTATGAGAGGGCAGGAATTACTCCCATAATCCATATGCAAATCATGTTAAGATTCTTATAGCACAGTATGCTTCTATCAAATCCAAACATGTATTTATTGTAGTCTGGTTCTGATTCACTTCCTTTTACTCACTGAATCATAACAACAGTGGGCCAGCTAAGCTAACTGTAGTCGTAGTGTCAACGGTGGGCCGCTACGCTACGCTGCGCTAAACAGCCCACTAACGTTAATGTAGCGGCCCTCAAAACAGCACACCAACCTGTAGTGTTAGCGTGCTGTTAGTGCCACTACGCTGCACTACAGCCAATTACGGTGGGCCGCTACACTAACCGTAGTGTAACGCAGCGGAATTCCTGTTAGTGTTAAGCGTAGGTGCGTTGATAAATGCACACCCTCCCCCCTCCCACCTGCCCACGCCCCCGCCCCTCCAAAAGGGGCGGGGAGTAAGACCCGCCCTTTCTTTGGGCGGGTTTTGCTCCACGCCCCTCTGTTTGCTGACATTTGCAAGACAAGCATGCAGTAAAACCGGCCCCAAAAAAGGGCGGGTTGTCAGACGACCATGATTATTGAGGAACAAGCCATAAGGAACTGGGATTTACGATGTTGATGGCAGTCAAGATGGAGTGGTCGATGAGGATTGGATGACAGGGTTAGACCAGTGGGATGGTCTTTGGCTCTTCTTCCACAGCAATCAGTCATTGGCGACATAGCCGCCTTGTTTGGCTTCATTGCTGATATTGCATTTGTTGGTTGGTCTTAAGAGAAACCTGCCGCAGCTATAACCAACAGAGAATTAGAGCCGTTGATAGACTTGAAATAAAGGAGGACATAATTGGCCATGCCGGTGGCGCATTGGGAGGGGCCGGCTCAACGGTGTAGAGCTCCTTCAGCTCCACATTCGTCCCCTTGCCCTCCGAGATGCCAAACTCTTGCCCCATAGCCTCCGCACAAAACGAGTTGATAAATTAATTCAGAATCTCGTTCCGATTCGCTCGGATTGGCAATGATTTCCAGTGTGTACTTATTTGCTCACCGTTCACCATTGGCCGGAAATGATTCCTTCCAGTCTTACCAAGACCTACAGTCTCAATGACTGGGAGAAAATCCCCCGGCCATCAAGGCCTTTCAAGCCTCAAAGACCAGGAGGGATTCCTCCCGGTCTTTGAGACCGTACTGTCTCGACAACCAGGAGGATTCCTTCCAACCTTCAAGAATGTACAAGCCTTGAATGTCAGGAGGATTCCTCCTGGCCATGAAGCCATCAGCAGGCTGATGCAAGCAAAACACTCCAGAGTGTTTTGCTTACGTCACCCGGCCTAAATCTGCGGCGTGCAGGCCAGCCCGCCCTTTTTTTGGGGCAGGTTTTACTGCACAGGTTTTACTGCACGCCCCTTGTGTTGCAAATGTCAGCAAACAGAGGGGCATGGAGCAAAACCCACCCAAAAAAAAGGGCGGGTCTTACTCCCTGCCCCTTTTGGAGGGGCAGGGGCGTGGGCGAGTGGGAGGGGCGAGGGTGTGCATTTATCAACGCACTAAGCGTAGTGCAGTGGAATTCTGCCATGACACCGCTAACGCTACACATGTGGGCCACAAACAAGGGCCTAATCCGCTGTGCTACAGCACTTTTTGGGCTGTTTTTGCCACTAAAAGCGCTTTAGCACAGCGCAGCATAGCAAAAACCCGCTAAAAAATGCCAACACTACATTTTTTTGATGCAAAAAAAGCGCCGCTACACTCCACTTTTTGGACCAAAAGTGTAGCGGCCCACCGCTGCTACAGCGCTTCTAGTATCAAAAACAGCCCAAAAACCGCTAAAATGCGCTGTAGCGCAGCGTAGTGGGACCTTTTTTGTGGCCCACACGTGTAGCATTAGCGCAATCATGGTGGAATTCTGCTGCGCTACACTTAAGTTAGCGGAATTCCGCTACAGTTAGTGTAGCGGCCCACCGGTGGTAGTGTAGCTAAAATAAGATAACATATAGCATAGTGTTAGCACAATTCTGCAAATCTGCACCAACACTATGTCAGGATCCAAATGGGCCGGGTTCGGGTCAAAAAATGGTGACCAAACCCGCCCCGCCAATTTCTCAGGGCGGGGCGGGTCGGGGCAAAAACTGAAAAATGTTGACCAAACCCGCCCCGAGTACACAGTGTCTCGGGTCGGGTCGGGTCCTGGGTCGGGTCCGGGTCAACCCGGTAAATAATTGATTTATTTCTTTTTAAGCTATCATGTATTAACCTGCTGCTCTTGTATTCACTGTTTTTTTCATGAGACTATCAATTATTTTAAAATAAAAAAAGAAATTTCTTGTGTATATGAAAAAAAGATATCCAATGTTAAGAAATTACTACAACTGCTTCTTTTTTAAACTCGTCATAAGTGTCATCAAAATCATAGAGACCCTCTTCGTGGCAGATCCAATCTTGGGCACAAACAAGGGCCTCAAGTGTTTGAGGTTTCAGCCTGCTTCGAGAATCACTGAGCATCCTACCCCCTGTCGAAAACGCAGATTCCGAGGCGATCGAAGTCATGGGGACCATCAAAATTGTCCTTGCCATCGTCGCAAGAGTCGGGAATCTGAGAGAGTTGACTTTCCACCATTCAAGGAGGTCAAAAGATGGAGTATCAATTTCGACAGTAGCTTCTTGGAGGTAAAGTTCCAATTCAGCTGTTGGTGAAGTTGTTTGATTTGATTTCTTCCCCGCAAGGTATTTTTTGAATCGGTTGTTGTCATCGGTTTCGGTGGTAGATTCCAAATTTTGATTGGGTGTTGATGCTGCATGAGTTGTTGGATTGGTTACTTGTTTTCCATTGCGTTGAGTAACGTGATTGAACCAGCTAAATATGTTGGATTTGATTTCTTGGAGTCGAGTGGCAGTGGCTTCAGCACTGAGTTCATCACAGAGAAGGAAGTCGAGAAGTTCCATTTTTGACCTAGGGTCAAAGACAATACTGATCGCTGAAAACAAATCCATTTTCTTCCAATATTTTTGGAATTTCTCCTGCATCGGGCTGACTATACTGACAACGTGTGGTGGTCCGGTTTTGATAGCTTCTCTGAGGTGTTTCTCAATTTTCTTCATGTTCTTATACAGCAGATGCGAAGTCGGATATTTCGTCATTCCAAGCTTCAATGTAGCTTTTTTATAGAGTAGATAATGGTTAGAAAAAATCAATCATCCAGATAAGTAAATAAATGAGAAAAGACAAACCTGTGTGAAAAATAGCAAGGAAGTCTTGCATTGCGGTTATTTCTTCCCAATCCTCTTCAGTAGGGCAAGTCGTGAAATTCACATCCTCTGTGGCTAAATTATCAAAAGCAGTCTTGAATGGTAGCGCAGATTTAAGCATTTGATAGGTAGAGTTCCAACGTGTTGGGACATCAATGACGGGAGAGCTTGTTGTTTCATACGTGCAGACTTGATGGCATCCTGGAATGCCTGCTTGCGTGATGGAGTGCTTTTGGAATATCACACACTGTCTCGGAGTTTGATGATTGATTCAGCGGTGGGCCGCTACGCTACGCTTTTGGCCCAAAAAGCGTAGCGTAGCGGCGCTTTTTTTGCGCCAATTTTTTGTAGTGCATTTTCGCTACGCTACGCTGCGCTACAGCGCTTTTAGCGGAAAAAGCGGCTAAAAACCGCTAAAAACGGCTGTAGCGCAGCGTAGTGGGCCCTTTTTTGTGGCCCACACGCGTAGCGTTAGCGGTGTTGTGGCGGAATTCCGCTACGCTACACTTAACGCTAACGGGAATTCCGCTGCGTTACGCTACACTAACCGCTACGGTTAGTGTAGCGGCCCACCGTTGATTGATTCCAACATGTTTTTGAGGCCGTCCTTCACTATCAAGTTGATGACATGAGCAGCACATCTCATATGGAAAAATTGACCGTTGAATTCAAGTGCATTGCGACTTCGTTTGATCAGGATTGATTTAACATGGGAAACAGCGACGTCGTTGGAACTGGCGTTATCGACAGTGATAAATGCAAATTTATCAATAATTTTCCAGTCACCCATGGTGCTGATGAGCTGGTTCCCAATAGCGATTCCTGTGTGAGGTGTCGGGAGTTCTTTGAAGGCAATAAGTCGCTTTTTGAGGGTCCAGTTTGGTAAGATAAAGTGAGCCGACACGACCATAAAGGGGGTTTGATTTTTTGAGGTCCAGAGGTCGGTGGTTAGTGCGATACAATCAACCTGGGAAATTTCACGGGCAAGCTCAACCTTCATCGAATCGTAAAGTTGCATGACATCGGATTTGAGGGTGGTACTTGAGAACAGACAAAATTCT